AAAGAGTCCAGGAACAAGGCAGAACTTGGAATTTTAAAAAAATTTGTTTTTATTGATTTGAGAGAGAGAGGAATGGAGAGGGAGAGAGAGAGAAACATCGATGTGAGAAACATCAATCGTTATCTCCTGCACGCCCCCTACTGGAGATTAAACCCACAACCCCACATGTGCCCTGATGAGGAATCAAACTGCAACCTTTTGGTGCGTGGGACAACACCCAACCAACTAAGCCACATGGACCAGACCAAACTTGGATTCTTACAGCACTCTTCCACTTAGCGACTTGTGATCTTGACGTGTCTCTGAATGTCAGTTTCCTCATCTTTAAAATGAAGATAGTAATACTCATCTTGTTGAATTGCCATTAGGATAAAATGAAACAAAGAGTATTTATCAAGTAACTCAGTTCCTGGCTCATAACAAAGGTTCAATAAATGTTGGTTCCCTCCCACATCTCCAGTATACTTGACCCTCGTGATATATAGGTTCCCATCAATCTGCTGGCATTCCTCCAGTGTGACCTGCCCTCAGCCCATTTTCAGATCAGCCAATGGAGCCATGACTGGCTGGGACCATTTTTCATCCAATTGGTCTCATTCCAGCAGTATCATGAGGCCTCTTGCTGTAAATCAGTCTGGGAAAATAAACGTCCCCAATCCATTAGTGACTTTCTACCACAAGCCAATTTGAGCCACAAACCAGACAAGTCTTGTTAATGGCCACTTAAATACACTCCTGCAGCCCCACTTGGAGACCCTCAGCCTCAGATTCTACTAGCTCCTTCCCAAGAGAAGCCCTGCTGTGACCAGCCTGCTAACGGCAAAGGCATGGATCCGATCCTTACCAGCTAGGGGGGACACGCACCTGGTCTGCCTAATGCAGTTTCAGTTTGCTCCTGTGGTCCCAGAGCAATTATTTTAGTTCCCCTTTCAAAAGAGTTCCCGTTTGGATGATAAACTATAGACGGTGTCTATGGAAACCAAAAATAATCATTTAAATAATAATAGCTATCATTTATTGACCACTTGCTGTGTGCCAGGCATCATGAGAAAGGTCTTTATGCACTGTAGCTCATTTAATCTCCATTACAACACTATGAAGGGAGGTGCTATGATTATCTCCATCTCGTAGGAAATGCTAGAGGAGTAAGCAACCTGTTCAGGGTTAACCATCGGTGCAGAGGGCACACTGTGCATCACCCCATCTCTCTTACGAGGCAGTACACCCACCAACTGCTGGGGGTGCAGAGTGCTCGCTCAGAGCAGCCCCCTCCCCTGCTTCCCCACTCCCGAGAGGAACCGCCCTCAGTCAAACAGAAGCCACCTCTGCTTGAAAGCTCCATGCCCCGACTCCGGAAGCAGCCCACAGCCCTAGGCTAACTGAAGAACGTGGGAAGGAGGGGGCAGTGTAGGGGTACAAAAGGCTTCCCCGTTGCTTCTAGGTCAGATTAACTCCATGGTACAATTCATGCTCCAGAACTCCCGGTGGGATGCAGTTGAAACCAAATCCTTTCCTAACTTCTTCCCCTGCCCTATCCCACCTCTCTGGCTCCCATTCTCCTGAAAGCACCCCCACTCAACCACTTAAAAAAGCACCCCTGTCTCAGGCTCCGCCTCCAGGGGCCAGACCTATGACATCCAGTTAGCAAGTGGCAGAGCTAGGGACTCATGTCTAGGGAGGCCTTGACCATTGAGCCGGTGTGACATGATATTGTCTAATTATATTCATGGTTAAAATGGCCTCTAAGTTATCAAGCTGCCAAGAACTGTCATATAGACACAGTTATGACAACAGTCACAACAATAGCTACTATTTATTTAGTGCCGGCAGTGGGCCCGTCTCTTTCTTGCATCTGATCCTCTCAACACTATGAAGGTCATCTTATTGTCCCCATTTTGCAGTTGGGGCATGGAAAGCTTAGAGACGTTAAGAGAGAGGCCCACTGACATTACACAGATAGAAGGTAGTGGGGTTTTGGCTTCCATCCAGGTCCATCCTTCTCAGTTTGGCTGCTGAAATCACTTGCTGTGTAAACTGTTCAATGAATGGTTGATACAATGGGTTCCCCATCAAAGCTGATGTTCTTGTAACAATTTAGGCAGAAAACTCTCCTGTCCCACCTGTCCATACTCCTTGAGCCGAAATATTTGGAGCTATATTTCACCATCATGTCTCTACTTTAAGGGCAAAGCCATTTTATTCTGGAAACAGCCACAGAGTATTCCCGTAAGCTAGACATAAAAAGATCAAAGCAGCTGTATTCATGGAAAAAGGGAAAGCAAGCTTACATGCCAAAGGTCTAGAAAGGTAAATCACATTTCCTGTGGCTTTACCACGGAGAGAGACAAAACAGAAAAAAAGGAAAACAACAGAGATTTAAGGAGAGACAGACCAGGATTCAAATCCTAACTCTACTGTCTGTGTGATGTTTTCTGGCAAATTACTCAACATCTCCAAGCCCCAAATTGTGCTATCATTAATACCTATCTCATTGGACCATAAATGAGAAGGTGTAAATAAGATATAAGATGTATGTCCCTCACTTCTTCTCTTCCATTTCCATAACATTTCTAGAGAAACCTACTTGAACCTTCATCCCAGGTCTGAATACATGTTCAGATGAACTATGCTTTATTCCCAAGCAAAAAGCATATCCTATTTGATGATAAAAGGTTTCCATTTAAAATAGAGAGCAGATAAAAAGGGAGACCTTCGTCCAGGAGGCCATCAACTGATTCATAAAAACACAGAATGAGTCATCCTGGCTCTCAAGGCTAACCTTACAATCAATGGGCATCTTTGGCCAGCCAATCCCACCCAGCCCAGTGGAGGAGAAAGGGCCCAGCGGGCAATTTTCGCAAATCTATTTCTTTCCCCCCTTGCAAAACGGATTAACTCTGCTTGCAGCTTGGTGAAATGAAAATCAACCTGGGGCCTTTGCAATGCTGTATTCCAAATGCTCCCCCAGACCTGGCTGGCTTTCTGAACAACTGGCAGGGGGAAGAGGTGGGGGAGGATCTGCAGTGGTTCGTGTGTGTGTGTGTGTGTGTGTACAACACACACATACAGCTCTAATGAACAGGATTGTGTGTCTGGCTTTGAAAAATCAATCTCCTCCTAGCCTTCATCTTGACATTTATTATTTCAAAATGCTTCCGCTCTGGTCAGCATTTATGCACTTAGCATAAGGCTAGAGAACCCAGACCCACTGGTACTACAGATGATACTCTTGTCTTCAAAAAGTAGCTTCAGCATTTTCACTCCCTAAATACGTACTCTGGCAGAGTCCTAGAACCCAGTCCTCAATTTGGACGGAGAGTTATAAATTACATGTATGTGTACACACACACACACCACATACCTAAAATATTTTTGGTGGTTATGGAAGACGAATTATCAATACATAGTTTTAATTACTAGGCAGACATTCTTCCATCAGCAAGTGAAGAAAAGTAATGACGCAACAATCCCCCCTCCAAGCATCTTTCCTCAATCCATTCATTCAGAGAGAACTTATTTAGGATGCACTGTGCCACGCACTGGGGATTTATCTGTGAAAAGGGTACATGTAAGCTCTGCCTTCAGGGATCAATCAGCTTGGTCCAGCCAAGAGTTAACAAAATAGAACTCTATAGGAGCCCAAGTTTGCAAAAGCCTCTTCCTTTACCCTGAATTCCCCAGGGAGAGGCCCAGGAGTCCTGTTTAGAGTCAGGCATGACCAGCTACAGAAATGCAGAGCCAGCCAGAGACCGGGTACCGGCTTCTCTCACCAGCTGCCTTCCAGTCTGGCAGATGAAACCTGTGCCTGCTCTCGAAGGAGCAAGGGCAGGGAATCTCCTTTGCTTTTTTCTTGCCTCTAGATACAGTCCAAGATTCTGGGTTGGGGGGTTCCAACCTGGGAAGTGTTGACCCAGCTGCTGTGTTAAGGAGCAGGGTCTGGATGGAGGGGGCCGTGAGGGGTGGAGGTGGTGGTGGTTATAGGCCCATCTGACAGCAAGTTCCCCTCAGGTGTCTCCTAGGCTGCAGCACAGAGCTCAGAGTGCTGTGCCGCGCACTCGGTCCAGTTCTGGGTGAGCCCTCCCCTCAGAACTTCAGGGAAATGATCCTCTAGTGACAGCACAATCAGAGAGGCTTAAACACACCAGACAGGAACCCTTATCGGTGTGGGTCTGAGGAAGTTCCCCCAGGAGGAGTGGGGAATAGAAGGGCACTCACATTAATGAGCTCCATCTGAGACAGGAGTGGGAGTTCAGAGAAGATTGATCAGATTTGGGTTTTTCCCCCTCATCAGAGAAAGCTGCTGGAGGGGAAGAGGGAGGGTTAGGCTTCAGCCTCAACCTCTCCCCCACCCCCACCAAGCTTAGATGCTTGGTACCTAACTCCCTGCTTCCCAGTTCCGTTCCCCATTCCAGACCACAAGGAGGGGAGTGTGCAGAAGCAGGGAGGAAAGACACATGTCCCCAGCCCTGCATCCTGTCCCCAGCCCAATCAGGACATCACACAGAGGTTACAAAAAGATCAATGATCAAATCCTGGCGGTGGTACTTAGTGGTGGCAGGGTGATCTTGGGCAAATCACTCACTCTCCCTGAGCCCTGGTTTCCGCACCTGTAACGGGGGGTGCCCACGGTACCTAACTCACTGGGTCCCGGGAAGTATTAAAGAGGATCGCTCACAGTTAGCCGACGGTTATTATTATTTTCTTAAACTATGTTACCATCAACCCCCTACCCTGGCAGCTTCTCCAGCGGCGCAACCTTCTAGACCCTAAGTGCTGGGCGCCACCACCCACCCCCGCGTCCCCTCCCGAGGGCTCACAGCCTCCTCGCATGCTTGGGAAGGGGAAGGGCCACTCTCAGCATCCTCCCCAGCATCAGCGGCGGCTGAGGCGGGCGCCCGCGTCTGCGGTCCCCGGTCAGCGTCCCCGCCAAGGCTCTGCCGCCTCCCGGGAGCGCCGAGCGCGCAAAGAGAGAGAAGGAGAGAAAGGCGCGGATACTGGACCAGGCTTTGACGCGGATCTTGAGCTCGCCGTCCTGCGGCTCGGGCATGGCCTTCCTGGTGACCCGCAGCTTGTTGAGACCCCCGAAGCCGGCCAGCACCACGGCGCGCATCTCCTGGGCGTCCCCGAGCCGGTGCGAGCCGCCGCCGCCGCCCTCCGCCGGCTCCTTGCCTGCCTCCTTCTCGATCATTTGTTCCGTCTCTTCCGCCTTCTCCACGCCTTCTTTGGCCATGGCGCGCGAGGACGCGGGGCGCACGGGCTGCGGCGGCTGCGGCGCGGGGGCTCGGAGCTCCTCTCCCGCGGGTTCCTCCTGTTGAATGTGGGATGCTGGGCTGTGCAATGGCTGCAGCCTCAGCGAGCGGCGCCGCGGTCCACAGCCTGCGCCGTAATCCTCCCAAGAGCTGCGCCCGCGCCCGCTCCCCTCCTCTCTTCCCTGCCAAGGGAAGACTTAACTCCGATTTCTAAGCCAGTCTCAAATCAGGATCTTGATCGCTGTCCCAGAGGCAGATTTTCTCGATATTTGTGACTAAAACACGCAGAAAGGCCACCGTTGCCTCCGTTGTGGGCGCAGTACTTTGTTATATACGGCGCAGGCTCGGGGCCTTGAAATGGACAGAGACGAATGTCTGGGCCTGGAGGAAGCCTCCCCGCGAAGCGGTTGCCTCGTCTCCCACCGATCTGCAGGAGCGGGCGGAATAGACGGGAAATTGGGCTGTTTCCCAAACCGCCGGTCCTGGCTGGAAGGGCAGAGACGTCCGGGAAGGGGGAGCCAGGAGACCCTGCTCACTGCTCACAGATCTGGAGTCCAAACCCAGAGTCCTTTCTCTGGGGACATCCAGGGTCAGCGCGGATGCTCCTTTCCTGGCATCACTGGGAGCGTCTCATGATGGCTAATTCTCACCCACCGGCATCATTTTGGGCCATTATAAAAAAAAGGTCCTATGCTCTCCCCCCTCAACACTCTCTCTCTCCCTCTCCTACACACACACACACACACACACACACACACACACACACACACACGCACCAGTAACTAGCTTTGTGCTTTATTTGTTACAGAGCCTTTCAAAAAAGAACTCCTAGAAAAACTTGAGTTTTCAAGATAAAAAGTTGGGGAGGTGTTGCTTTGCCCCAGTTTGAAAAGGACAGAGTTGAGGGATGGTAGCTGTATATTCTAGGTACCCAGCAGCCACTGCCAGCCTTGGCATGGGGGAGACTCCTTCAACCGTTCTGAGCCTCAGTTTTCTCATCCTTCAAGTGCATTCATTCATTGTGTTGATTTGCTTCGTGGTGAGTACCGGGGTGGGTATGACTTTCAGTGACACGTGGTCCTGACTTTCAAGGAGCTCATTCTGAGAGTGTGAGGCAGAGAAGGCACAGCCCACAAACAGACACACATCGAATGGTAAAGGTGCCTCTTCTCTCTCCATTTTCCCTGTGCACCTTTGCTTTAAACACCCTGGCCTCCTAGTCCTCAAAGAGGATTGTATTCCCTTCTACCTCCTATATCCCCAGGCCTGGAGCCTATGTTCCCTGTCCTTCATCTGGTGATAACGCCTACTGCACTCTCAACTCAAGTGTCCAGTCCTTGCCGAAGGCTCTCCAACCCTCAGGGCGAGTCAGCAGCCTTTATGATAAACTCAAGGCAGTGTGTAACAAATGTTCACATGATTCCCTAATACTGTCCATTTCCTTTTCCCAACTGTGACCTCTTTGTGCATTTTCTGCTTTTTATCCAGCATGACTCCTTGAAACTTTGCACGTGATTGGTTTATAGTAAAATACGCTCAGAAAATGCTTGTTGAATGAATGAATGAGTCAGTGAATGTAGATGCTACAGTGGGAACCCAGAGGAGGAAACCATTAACTTGCCCAGGGAGTGGAAAAGTCTTCACGGAGGAGGGGGGCATTTTGAGCCAGACTTCGAAGGATGAGCCCGGTTCTTCAGACAGGGAAGATCACATGTACATTCAAACACATCAAAAGGTGACAGGCAGCCTGGCCAGTGTGGCTCACTGGTTGAGCATCGACCCAGGCACCAAGAGGTCACTGGTTTGATTCCTGGTCAGGGCACATGCCCAGGTGTGGGACAACACTGGCTTTTTCTGTGTGGGCAGAGCACCCGCTGTGTTTAGCAGCCACCGGAGATGAAGCTGAAAGGTTGTTTAGACCAGCTTTTGAGGGTTTTTAAATACTATGTTATAAAGTGTATCACATAATCACGGAGGCAATGAATGCCGCTGAAGTCTTAAAAGAACAACAGCAAGGGAATGGCATTGCCAGAACTGCATTTTAGGATGATAACTTTGGCAGTAAGTGGGTGATGGATTAGACAGCAGAGGTACCAGAAGCGTGGAGATCAGTCAGAGACTATAGTGCAGAAAAAATAAATAAGTGAGAAAGCCTCAACCGAGGCAATGGCTGGGAGGTGGAAGAGAAGGGGTTAAAAGGAAACCGAATTGATTAGGCTTGGTTAGCGAATTCAACCGAATTTTACTGTAAACCCAACTATCCAAACTATTAAGCCTGTTTACATTGTGAGTATAGTGTTAGGTTGGACTTTATCCTGAAAGAAGGTTTTGAGTGCCAGCGTTTTATTTTGGAGGTGAGCCCAGGAAGCTCCCATCAGGAAGTAAGGCAGTGAGATGGGGAAGTGATAGAAGCCAACTCGGGTACACTGGTGAGCAGGTTCCCACAAGGACAGATGGTCTCGTACCCACAGGAGACCCTTGAGAGGCAGTGGGGAACAAGCCTCGGAGCTGTCCTGCTCCAGGAATGAGGAAATGGGTATTTATCACTAAATGTTCTGCATGGTTGGTTAAGGTCTGTTCCTGGAAGGGTTAATTCCCTGCACTCTCTTCCTGCCCCGTGCGCCTGGGCTGAGAGACTCCCCAGGCAGAGAAATGCAGACCCTCTCGGTGGGAAGCCATCATCTGCACAGGTAATGGTGAGTTCCAAGGGGATAGGAGTTCAGCAGGGATAACATCTGATACATGCTATCGTTTGGGGGGTGTCTACTGTTCTAGACACTTCAGGTATGTTTTGTAATTTGATTTTTAGAATACTCTTATTAGGTAAGCATTCTTATTCCCACTTTTCAGAAGAGGAATGTAAGTCTTAACTCGATGAGTAATCATGCTCAAAGGAACACAGTGATCGTGGTGAGACAGATACAAAACCAACTCCAAAGGGATGCTCCTAACATCTCACCATGCGTGTTTGTTTGGATGGGCCAAATCAGTTCTGCCCTGGTTGAGAATATTCCAGGCCAATTTTGATGTTCTCTTTTCTTCTATTGGCCTTCTCGTATCTCTGTTCCACCAAGATCCCTTGCTTGGACTCCAAAGGATTTCCTTTAGCATAAGTAAAGTAAATCTACTTTGCACTCAGCACACAGCATGTTTAAAAGAAAATGTTTGCCCTCTTGTATGTTAAAGGGAATATAATTGCTCTCTCCAAGGGAATCTTCTGACTGTTTACAAACCCCAGATTATAATTGGTATGCAGCTGATTGTCACAGCAACTGAGAGGAAACACTCCAGTCTGTGCTAGTTGGGGAGGAACACTTCCTCTGAGTCCCATATACCACTCTTTGGATGGCTAAGTGTTCCCAAATCTGCTGCTCCCTAGAGGAATTTTGCAACAGCCATACTGCAAGGCATCTCTTCAAAGAAACACAATAAATCTATTTTCAATTTATAAAATTGATTCCTTGGGCATTCACTTAGAGCTTCGGTTGTGAAATATCTTGCATGTAGGGCAATGTCAAACAGTGCCACTCCTGGAGAAGCACAGAGCTCAGCTCCGTGACCTTGCACATGGCCCGGGCACAGGTGTACGTGTCCGTGAGAGCCGTGGAGAGGGTCAGACTCGGGAACCCCTCAAGGTGCTGGCCACTCACGCAGCGAAGGTTAGGGATTCAAATAAGAATATATGGGAAACAATTTTAGAATGATTTTAGGAATGGGTTTTAAATAACTTGGAATGGTTGAGTCATTTTCCAGAGAAATGTATTACCTGGGGCAGGTGCTCAGTGTCTTCAACTATGTCCTTTAATATTTTATCTGTTATACTTACCTGGCAGGGGAGATGCCATGATGATGAAGGTGGTTTTCCCTGGGCGAGGCTGATCCATCGCACCCCGGGTGTGCCGACCCCTGGCGATGTCTCCAAATGTGGGAAACTCGACCGCACAATTTGGGATAGTGGGGGACTATGTTTGCGCTCTCCCCTGGAAGAAAAAACATTTTATCTCTTATAGTGTACTCAACACAATGACAATGATTTATACACATACATATATTATTTATACACATACATATATTATTTCATCTTCAAAATAATCCTGCGCCATAGGTACTATCATGCCTGTTTTATACAGGAGGACATGTAATAGAAATTGAGGCACTTTCCCAAGCTCACCTACTTAGTGGCCGAGTTGGGTTTTGAAATGGGAGCCATTTGACTCTAAAATGTGGATTCTTAACCACTGTGCTGTAATGTCTCTGCTGCTGTGTCTCTCAGAAAGGACATAGAGTAGGTCACAAGGAAGGAACCGCATTGAGGTCAATAATGGAGAGCGCAGCAGATTCTGGCGATGGAATGTCTTAGTAAAATCCAGATGCTCATATTGAAGGCTGTGTGCACAAGTTCTTATAGTTTGTGTTGATGCATTTAAGAGCTAATGGAGCATGAATGCCACGAGCACAGCATTATCTCGGAGAAGCACTGGATAGGTGTGCAGCCCATGCTGAACGTGCTGGACCGAACCACCCATTGAGATCGTGGAGGACCAGCTATCGGCGGCAAACTCCAGATGGGTCGGAGGGGCAAAGTGTGAACCAGCGTTTCTCCAGCACCTGTGGAGTACTGACCTTGGGCTCTTGCTAAGAACTGGAGATAGAATGGTGAAAAAGACAAATGTATTCTCGGTCCTAATGGAGCAAGCATTCTTTTTTTTTTTAATCCTCACCTGAGGACATTTTTCCATTTTTTGTTCAGACAGAGCAGGAGGGAGAGAGAGGATGAGAGAGAGAGAGAGAGAGAAACATCAATGTGAAGGGACACATCAAGTGGCTGCCACCCGCACGACCCAACCAGGGCTGGGGACAAACTGCAACTGAGGTACGTGCCCTTAGCGGGAACCAAACCTGGGTCTCTCTGGACCGCAGGCCAACGCTCTAACCGCTGAGCCAAACTGGCCAGGGCGGAGCTAGCATTCTAATCAAAGGGACATATATCGGTTTAGGTGGGATTCCCCAGAAGCAAACTTTCTTAATTCTAGGATCTGAGTGTAAACGGTTTATTTGCGTGGTGATTCCAGGACGTAGGAGTCTGTGGAGATGAGCTAGGAGAGGGAAAGAAGTCAATACAAGGTGTATTATCTTGCAGGTTATCACTGGCACTAACTCAGGTCAGTCTGCTGGATAACCCTAGATGACTCTAGTATAGAGCACACCTCAAAGGCATCCCAGTCAAGAGGCAAGGGAAATGAAGTATCCACCAACTCCTGGCAGTCCTTGGCTGAGGGGTGTTTCTGGAGGGCACTTCTGCCTCTTCTGGTCTGCCATGTACACGGGCTCTTAGAAAATCGGCGCCTGGACCAAGCTATCCTGAGAGAGTTGCAGGTATCTCAGTTGAAAGCATTGGGTCCCTGTGTGTGGCATGGTGCATTCCAAGAGGGTGTCGTTAGGCATCAACAGCTCCTGCTGCAGGTATTAAGCCAAAAAAATCACATAAGCAATTAGTCATTTACTAGTATGAAAAGTACGATGAAGAAGAAATGCTAGGTATCACCTGGAGGGTCAGGGGAGCCTTCACTATGCAGATGATGATAGCAAAGGATTAGCTTCAGCAACAAATCAAAAAAGTCGGGGTTCTATAAAAAGAGGAGAGATACTGTTGGCAGGTATAGCAGATGCCACCACCGAAGGGCTTTTCACAGAGGAATGTTGGACTACGTGGAGCATGAAGTCTAGACTTTGAGCCTCGTGAGAGCACATTATCCACGGATCTCCATCCCTGGGACACAGTGCCATTCTCTCGACAACCTTTTTTATTTGGTTTTCTGGTCTAAAATAGAATTCTTTTTCCTTTTCTTGTTATTGTTGAAGGTATTACAGATATCCCCCTTTTTCCCCTATTGTTACCCATTGACCCCCCTCCTTCCCGCTCCCATCACATTCCCACCCCTCCCCCTCCTCCCTTCCCCAGCCTAATGTCTGTGTCCATTGGTTGTGCATATACGCATATAAGTTCTTTGGTTTATCTCTTCCCACCCCTCACATCCCTCTGAGGTTTGTCAGTTTGTTCCCTACTTCCATGATTCTGGGTCTCTTTTGGTCTATAGCTTATTTTGTTCCACAAATAAGTGAGATCATATGGTACTTGTTTTTCCCTGACTGGCCTATTTCTCTCAGCATTACACTCTCCTGGGGCCTCCATGTCGTCTCAAAGGGTAACAGATCTCTCTTTCTTACAGCTGCATAGTACTCCATTGTGTATATGTACCACAGCTTTTTTATCCACTCATCCACTGATGGACACTTGGGCTGTTTCCAGATCTCAGCTATTGTAACTAGCGCTGCTGTGAACATAGGGGTACATATATTCTTTCTGATTTGGTGTTTCAGGCTTTTTAAGGAGAGTTTTCAGCTCCCTGGCCAGGTGGCTCTGTTGGGTGGAGCATTGTCCCATACACCAAAGGGGTTGCAGTTTTGATTCTCTCTCTCTCTCTCTCTCTCCCCCTCTCCCCCTCCCTCTCCCCCTCCCTCTCCCTCTCTCTCTCTCCCCCTTTCTCTCTCTCTCTCTCATCAATAAAAATATCCTCAGGTGAAGATTTTAAAAGAGAGAGAGAGAGCGAGAGAGAGAGCATTTTCACCCTATTGGATTTTCTCTTCATAGGAATTCAACTACAATTTCACAATGGAAGTTAAAGGAACCCTCTTTCCATAACCAAAAGATGTTAGTTTCAAGACACTGAGAACCATCTCAACTCTTGATGAACCTGATGGTGTATGAATAGAATTAGAAACATTGCACCTACTCTTATTCTTTTATCCATAAGTGGCTGTTATCCATAGAGTGATAATCTGTGACTAGAGAGTCAATTGTTGAGTGTTATTTGGTAAACATGGTTGCCGAGTAAGAGAGTATACCGCAGAGGACTGAAAAAGGGATTTAAATCAAGTAGTTTATGCTTTTGAAGCCTTGTTTATGCTAAAAAGATAATCTCTGAGTGATTTCTTTTTACCCCCTTCCCTGAATATTATCTAGGGTTTTCCCCCTGGTACGAGGCTCTATGATTTCTTGTATGAATCATCTCCACAATGGTGCTGTCTGCCTCCTTCAAATGCTGCCGAGAGCTGTGTTCTCCCCAGAGTACTTTGCCATACGTCACTGTGAATAATGGGAATGGGATGGGGATGTGAAATCGGCTCAGAAGAAACAAAGCATTTACTCCTCAGACGGAGTCCAGGAGAAACCAGCGGGTGAAGTCCCCCCCACACCATCACTACCATTGTTTTTGTTTTTTAACCAAGCGGACACATCATACTCCAAATCAGGATGAAAGAATCCCCCAGCTAACTCAGGCTCTTATTTCCCTAATGTCTCTGGTTTGGGCAAAGGGCTGATTTCCCTGAGAGTTTTGTTTCCTTTATTCTTTTAATGGTCCATGTCTAGTTAGTTGAGACTTTGAGATCTCAGAGTAATCACTGGGTAAAACTATAAGATTTTTTGAATTGATTGTTTTTAGAGAGAGGAAAGGAGGGAGGGAGGGAAAGAGAGAGAGAGAGAGAGAGAGAGAGAGAGAGAGAATGATGTGAGAGAGAAACATCAATCGGTTGCCTCCCACATGCTCCCCAACCGGGGATCAAACTGGAAACCTGGGTGTGTGCCCTGACCTGGAATTGAACCTGCCACCTTTTGGTGCACAGGATGACACTCCAACTGACTGAGCCATTTTTGCTTGTCACCGCTCGTGCTGCAGACATCTAATGGGCAGAGGGCAGGGATGCCGCTATACCTTTTACAATGCACAAGACAAAGACTTATCCAGCCCCGAACGTCAATAATGTCCAAGTTGAGAAATCCTGCTCTAAGCCAGGATCCTCAGATCCTGCAAGGGAGGAGCCTGTGTGACTTTGGAAATGTCCTTGTTCTAGGTGGTAAAAGAGGATGCTTGGACTAATTAATGCTCAGGGGACTTTTCAGCCCGGGGGGCTGAGGGCACATCAGTCATCGATGTTGGCAGTGGCCTGGCACAAGGGCGCTCTCTGCAGAAACGACATTGATCAGAAATGGTAACTGCTGAAATGACAACACACCACGGGGAATGTTTCCAACCCGATACACTGTTTGTCCTTTTGATGCATGCGGAAGCGTGTTTCATGCAGGACTCCCTTCAGACAGTTGAATAAATTTGAAGCCGGTTTTAGAAGGCTACTAAATCATTCTGGGCAATTTTGTTTTAGAGACCATTCATATTTTGTTGAAGGAAAAATCAAAGGACATGCTTTAATTTAATATACCACAGCCTTTCCAAGTAGGGACAGTCTCTCGGATATTGATTTTGAGTGTTGGCATTGCATGCGCCTGTTTATCCAGTTGGTTATCATGAGCAGAGTTCTGTGTGTGTGTGTGTGTGTGTGTGTGTGTTAATCTTAAGGATTTAATTCAATCATGCCCACAATGGAATGGAGGCAAGCTGTATGATGAGGGCTATGGAGAGGGGCTGGTTCTTTGAGCAGCACAAGCAATGATGGGGGGTGAACGGAACAGAGACTAAATGAGAGTAATGAAGACAAGAGTCTCCAATGCATGTACCCAGCGCATCACTGCTGATGTCAACCCTAACCCCATCTCTAGGCAGTGTGAGTCGCCACCTGCTCGGGCTGCCTTCGTGTGACATGGTTCTTCGTTTTCTTGACCCGAGGCCGGGTTTCTCAAACTGGGATAAATTACTAGGGAGAACAGGCTTTCTGCCATCCTGGAGAAGGAGAGGCAGGGATGAGGTTTGGGACTCCAGGGTGCAGACCCTGACCTCCCCCTCACAGCCCCCGAAGGAGGTGGTGACCTCGGAGCTGCTGGTCTCGCTCAGGCACCAGCAGAGCCAGGTGTTTGCAGCATTTGCTTCCGCGGCAGCCTGAGGATGTCAGGCTAAGCTCCTCTGGAGTGGTGCCGGAGCTCGAGGCCGCCAGAGCACAGCAAAGCAAGACCCCATGCTGTGTGACT